AGAACAGTTGAAAAATAAAAATGATCCGGAAATAATTGAGTAATATGATCTATTGTCCTCCACCCCCATGAATTCCGCCTTTAATTGCGCTAATTAGCCAACAATTGGCTCGTTAAGGTGCCACGGTACCCCAGAAGAGAAAAAAAAATCCCCTAAAACTGGGGTAAAGGTAACAAACATGGCAATTGCGAGAACAGGGAGTGAGAAAAAGTATAAAGTTTCAAAAGTATAAAGAATCAGACGGACATTTATACGTTCCCATGATTGAACTGGCACCCAGAAGGATCTGGTTTACCTCTTGTCCTCCACTCCTCTTCATATTTCTTCGCTGCGTGCCTAAGAGGCCTCTTCTCCACTGTCCATATGATAAAAAGCGTTTTTGCCTTTGTATTCTCGGGGTTTAGAAAAAAAGTCGTTATGTAAATGACAGACCAGTAAGCACGGCTCTCGGTCATCAGGTATGGAAAATCTACAAGAATGGAGTAGCCGAAAAAAAAGCTCTAAAAAAATGTCACAAAAAATGCAAAATCCCTAAGAGAGACAGAGGGAGAGGAAGAGAGGGAGAGAATTTCCTCGAAATTTCTTGCAAAACGCGTATTAAAAATTCTAATTCCAAATCACGAATAAATGCAGCCAAAATACTCCAATTGCGCACAGTAATTACTCAATTACTTAATTATCAGCTCAGACAGTTTATCAATTACATAATAAGCTCAATGGTCTTATCACGGGCCTCATCGAGGGCCTCATCAATTCCACTAGAATTAAAAATTAAAAAACCAATGATTGCATGTACATTTTCAATAATTGATACATATATACGGTTTTATATAAAATAACCCCCGACTTGGTTAAACGGTCGGTGAAAAAAGGCGAATTAAATGGTTTAAAAAAAAAATACGTCGATATGACAAAAAGGTAGAAGAGACAAAGGCAGATATGAAAGGAAGAGGCAGGCAAGCGTGAGACCGGACTGACTAGAGGTCTCGTAATAAGACCGTCGGCCAGTTTTTTTTTCTCTCTCTCTCTCTCTTTTTTTTTTTTTTGCAAACTCTTCCTCCCGTGGGCCCCCTCCCCCCTTTCCAATGGCTGTTTGTGCCGGTATTAATTTATACGCGCTACGTGTGTGCACGCGGTATTCCTCAGGACGAGTCGCCGCGTTTTTCATTTAACGTTCCTCGAAATTTGCAAGAAACTAGTCGGACACCCCGAAGACGACGGATACTCCTTCAACTCTTTTCTTGTCGATTCGTGTCTTCACCCGTCGGCTATCCGTCCATTGCACTCATCCACGGGGGCACCCGCCTCTTGCTGCATACCCGGTTATCATTCTGGATTGTAACAGCGATTTATTTTTCAGATAGCGATAATTTTAGGCAATCGATTGAGGAATGCCGATGGGAGTCGACGGTATATTTATTCGTGAAATTATTTATCATTTTAATTATTGGAAATTAATCTGGAAATCATGGGATTTCAATGACTTTAAATGATTTTTTATTAAATCAAGTCCTATTTTTATAATTCTGATAATTATATTATTTTTAATTTATTTTTAGATTTATTTTTAATTGGCGTAATGAAGAAGTTGCGATAAAAATATTCGCGGTATTTTATATTGAATATTTTTCAACAGTTGTGCAGACATCAGTGCCGCAAAATGAGGCTGAGCTGCAGCTGTACAGAGTTATGCAGAGAGCATCATTATTGGGCTACTATGATACCCTCCTCGAAATGGGTGATTATTATTTGCTAATTACTCATCAAATTCCCAGGCAATTACAAAAGATGGAATCAGTTATCGCGGAATATTTTCCAAGCGAAGACAGATAGAAGAATTTTCATAATAACTTTTTTTGTAGAGCAGTCCGCGACCTCAAAAAAAGATTATCACAAAATTTTCGCTATCTGCCTTAATTAATGAGATATTCATCGCTAACTATAATTTTTACAAATGCCCTCATTTGGTCGACAAATCGATTGTAAATTACGATTCATGTTTAATGATAATTATAATTTATTCAGGTGGAGATGATGTACAGCAGTTGTGCGATGCTGGTGAGGAGGAATTCTTGGAGATAATGGCACTCGTAGGGATGGCGAGTAAACCCCTGCACGTGAGGAGACTACAAAAGGCTCTCCAAGAGTGGATAACGAATCCCTGTGAGTAATTAAAAATATTTTTATAATAAACATCTATTAAATAATTATCAAATGGTATATTGCTTCCAGCTTTATTTCAAACACCAGTTGTGCCAGGAAGTGGATCGAGTAAAAATTCAACGGCTTCGGTAACAACATTCGCCTGCGCTAGCCCGAGACTTCAGAATGCCAGTGTTTTTACTGGATCATCTTCAACGAGTCCCACAGCTCCAATATCATTGACAACACATGTACCAATTACTCCGTTACCCTGTAGAAGTATCAGCCCAGTGACACCAACGTCTGTTGTCACACCAACCCCTACCTCGACCTTTCGACAGAGTCCCAGCCCCAGTACCAATATCATCACGTACTCTGGGGTTCACAGTCCGGACGTACTCCAGGTAATTTTTATTATCGTTATTGCATTGGTATTGTTTATTGAGATTCATCAATCAGGTTGGCACTTGCGAATCGTCATGTGGCAGTGGTACAACATCCAGTCCAGGTGGTGGTGGTGGCAGTTTAAATGCACCACCAAGTCCAACCCAAGGAACCCCTACACTACTTTCATCTCAAGTACAGAGACTTGCTGAAGCTGCTGAACGTCTTGCTAGTAGTCTTCGTCCGCTCGATCCAAAGCCCCACAACATCAAGAAGAAAATCTGCAAGAATCTCGAGGTGAGGATTTATCTATTCCCTTTTTTCTTCATGAGGATTCCAGATAAGTGGATGAATAATGTCAATGGAATATCAATTGTTTTTTCTGTCGTTGGCAGCTGGTGATGACTATGCCAGACACTGACCCCAGGAGAATGGAGGAAATAAGAAAATATGCGGCTATTTATGGACGATTTGACTGCAAACGAAAACCTGAAAAACCGTTGACGTTGCATGAAGTATCAGTTAACGAAGCGGCAGCTCAAATCTGTCGATTTGTCCCAGCCTTATTAACGAGAAGAGATGAACTCTTTCCACTTGCTAGACGAGTTGTCAGAGACTCAGGCTATCACTACTCGAAAAATCAATTGTAAGAGCCCAATTGTTTTAATTTTAATAATTTTAAATGACTTCATTTGTCAGAGTTAGAGTGAAATTCAAAAAATCTGAATTTCAGTTTATCTATGACGAGATGCCGTGATAATGGCGATGACTCGGAAAATGAAAGGGTAAAGAGACGACATTTGGATCATGATCCAGAGGGTGAAGACACGTCCCAGGTTAGCGTTCCCCAAAAAAAAATCACAGAAAATCTAAGAACGCACCTGTAATGACGGTCTAATACCCGAAGTAATGCGCACTAACAACCCCACGCTCTAGATTAAATTCGGAAAAAAGGTCAAGTATAGAAATTGGAATGAAAATTCCACGCATGGTTTTGCAGTTTGGGTTTGTACACTTGCTACAATTGCACGTTAAATTTCCCTTGAAACAGCCATTCCTCGATTTTTATGATTCTCATAAACTCGTAAACATCGAGGCAATGGCTTTTAAATTCCTCCACTCTTTGCACTTGGCTTTCTAGATTTTATTATTTTTTCTTCTTGTCTTTTACTATCTGTAGCAGTCCCTGTGTTTCAGACTGAGTTGGACCTTCGGTGTACCGGAATGGATGTCAATATTTCGAGTATGAGGAGTCATGGATCGTCGAGGTCTGTATTTTCAAATTATTCTATACCATCTGTACATTTTAGCTATTGGATGAATGAATAATCGAGTGTTTATCTTTATGTCTATCGAGTATTTGTTGACCTGTAGATGTTGACGATTTTATTTTAGTCCAGTCTGGCGAAAGAAGAATAACAACGGTGTATTTGGCACGAGCCTCGAGGGAATCAGTGATACCGATAGCCAATTTTCGTTTTCCAATGAAGAATCATCCTCGATTCATGTGAGTTCACACCATCTAAACATTTAAAAAAATGCATAATTAAAACAAAACAACGAATTTTCTCCTCTCTATCAATTATTCCCATAAGAAAATATTCAGTTATTATTACAAACTCTGGAAAAACGTGGCGTTAATTTTTATTATTAAATTATAATTCCAGAGATATTTTATGTTTTTAGTTATAAATATTTTTCTTGAGTTTAGGATCCAAATGACCTAGAGGCTGACAATACGGATAAAGAAAGTGATTTCAACTTGAAGGTGAGATCAAGAGAGTTGTATAAATAAAATAAATAAATCACTGGCAGTATGAATAATTGTTGAATTGTTTTTTGTCAGGTTATTGCCTCTCGAGGTGACAATATAATTGCTGTGGCAAATCCCGCATTAATGGAGTGCAATCATCCGATTAAAAAGGAACCTGAAGATGAAAAGTCGACGCTGTGATAATACGTTAGTGTAAAATCGTTAAATCTCCGAGAAAAATTCAATAGAAAAATAACAAATACGCATTACATTGTCTTATTTCTTTTTTAAAAAATGATGATTCTTATTTCCATTATTATAGCAGTTATCAGTGTGATTATACTTGTAGCCTCAGTTGCACTTCTTTTACAAATACTGTATAAATGAATTGACTATGAACAAACAGTAAATGAATAATGGAAACGAACAATTCTTTTTATTCTATTAATGCATCAACAATCCAGCTGATTTATTACTCACCATTTGGTGAGAATGAAAAATATGTAAATATCGTTTCGATTTTTTTCAATGAACAAATGTTTGTAAAACACATGATGAGAGGTGACCTCTTCAATAAACCATAAAAATTAATTGAACAAACTTATTAATTGTATTTTTAATGTGAAACTTATGAGAAATTAAAATAATAATAATAATATTCTCATAAAATATTGGCATTCACAAATAATGCATTTGAAGACATTTAAAAAATTTTTGCAATTATCTTTTATGTTATCAGCATGCGATAATCCTGAGGGCAGCACTTGCTGGTGAATATTCAATGTCACTCCACAAAAATTCTCAATTATTCCGTATGTGGCGTCGCAATCGTCTTGGGCTCTGCCACGTAATGTTGCGTGCCGTTTATAAATTATCATCGATAAATAATTCCACAATTATTCATTGTTAATCCAAAAGCAATGCCAAAAACTGTGAAATTTTTGACGTAACAATAACTCCCCTTCGTCAATCGTCATCGACATCAAGGTAAGACCCTCCAATCTCCCACAAATTTCATTAATCTCGAGTCGAAAAAAAAAAACGTCAGCAAAAAATGCATGACTTGTCCAAGTGCCTCTATACGTGGAATTATAGTTATGCATGTTTAAAGATTAATACACGTGAACTCTGCGATTCTCTCAACGAATAGAATTTTATCATCAACATGTTATTCAATCTTTATTAGTTCCACATTGTTTAATTGATTTAAACCTTTCCGTTGGAATTTGGAGATTATTTTGTCAGCTGAGGGTGGAATGTTGTTTAACAATTCGGAGTGAATGTGTTATTAACGAATTTTTTTGAATAATCGTAGGAAGACGAGTCAAATAAAATGTCTCAGCCTAGTGGTTATCAGCCGTCTTATCCTGATCTATTGAAAAGCGGTCCACCACAATTGCGACAACCACAATCATCAGTACAATTATCCTCTATGGTTAATGGTCAATCAAGTACTATTCCACCCGTACAAAATGGAACTCAACAGTCTGGACCATTCATACATCCAACGGGTATGAGTAATTCACTTATCGAATTTTTTTATTGAATTAAATGGGGAGATTAACCACCGGAGAGTACCCTTATTTTTTTACTTTCCTTGGGGATCTGCAATTTTTCAATAAATAAATAATTGAACCCGTTTAGTGGGGAAATAATTTCGAGTGCAGAATGCTTTGTGGTAATTATTTTGTAATTAATCGCGAGGGGAGAGATATTTTGAAACGATAATTTTAGATAATTGAGATAACTCGATATCTATGTAGAGGTATTATTTCAACAATTGATGTCAGATGATTTCTATATATGTGAAAAGCACAAGCGACTCGATCCATTAGCGAGAGGAGAAAGTTAGAGAACGACTGAAAGAAAATATGTCAAACATGAATTATCGGAATCCGTAAAAATCCCGGATGGCAAATAATTTCGGACAATCACTAGAATTCAATTTAGTTCACTCATCGATTATTTTTTACCCGTGACACTTGTATTTCCATATTTCATTGACTCATGCGCCGACTAAATACTTCATTGTACTTTCTCCCTTGTAATAATCGCAAGAGGCAAAAAATTATTCTTGCTGATATCAAATTTTTAACATTCAGTCTTGAATTTTTATTGCACGACAAGAAGTATTTTGTTTGATCCGCATAAATAATGGTATTACCAGTGAATTGAAAGATGAATAAAAAATAAAATAGGTACACCATCTTCCCAATCGTCTCGAGATCCATCGAGAGAGACATCGCGAGATCCATCTCCAACGCAGCACCTGTACACCCAGTACAGGCCTCAACTGACGCGTCCCCCAATGCCACCAATAAATGGCCAGCAAACGCAACCGATATCTCAAGATCGTCAATACCCATCCATCCCGAATCAACAGATAACGCCTCGTCCAGGATTACCTCAATTCCCAGGAAATTCTCCCGACCCAGCAAGATCCCAAAATCCATCGAATCCCATTTCCAATCCCCAATTCTCAACAATCAACTCGTCAGCCCCCAACTCGAATCAGCAGTGGAAACCCTCGACAAATTCTCAGCACCATCAGGACAACAATCTAAATCCATCACTGCAAAAGCCAACGATGCAAGTTCCTCCAGCAAGTGTACAAAATCAATCGATACAATTGGCCCCAGCGCCACCCCAGATGCAATACCCAAATCAAGGATCAATGCAGCAACAGCCGCATGTGCCACAGTTGCAAAATTCCCAGCAGAATAATTATCTCAATCAACCACCGAGCATTCCACCGAGTTATCCCAATCAAAATGTCTACGTTAGTCCTACGAATTTAGCTAGTCAAAGAAAATATCCTCAGGCATCTTACGGTAGCCCATTGGCACCTCGGGCCGCACCATCTGCGACGGGAGAACTGAAGAAGTTTAATTCAATGCCAACGATGCCAACGATGCCAACGATGCCAACAATTCCAACGGTGCCGACGGTGCCGACGATGCCGACGATGCCGACGATGCCAACGGTGCCGACGGTGCCGACGGTGCCAGGACAATACGTTTATGACAACAGAACAACAACAGCACCAACAATAACAGGACAACAATACCCTGGACAAATGGCTAATGTACCCTTGGACAATCTATCAAAGAGATACCCTGGTCCTCCAGGTTATCCAAATGATGCATCGATGAATCAATTGAATACTCAGATGGGATCACTAAACGTAACCAAGAGCGGTTTTAACAGTCTCTGGGGCCAACAATCACTCGATCTACTTCAGTGCAGAAATGTTCTGCCATCTGAGAGAGTTGAACCACCAAAGATAACACTCCAGCAGGAATTCTTCGACAGTGTCAACTGCAGTCCTGAAATATTCCGATGCACCCTGACTAAAGTGCCCGAGAGCAATTCACTCCTTCAAAAATCACGATTACCACTGGGTGTATTGATTTATCCATTCAAGGATCTCAATCATCTATCTGTTATACAATGCAGTACGATAGTGCGATGTCGTGCTTGTCGCACGTACATCAATCCATTCGTTTATTTCGTCGATTCTAAAAGATGGAAGTGCAATTTGTGCTATCGAGTTAATGAGCTTCCTGAAGAATTTCAGTTTGATCCTGTTACAAAGACGTACGGTGATCCATCGAGAAGACCAGAAGTTAAAACTAGTACCATTGAATTTATAGCGCCAAGTGAATACATGCTCCGTCCACCTCAGCCAGCTGTTTATTTATTTTTACTCGATATATCAAGATTGGCTGTGGAGAGTGGATATTTGAATATTGTCTGTCAAGTTATATCCGATGAATTGTCGAAATTACCTGGTGACAGTAGAACACAAGTTGGTTTTCTCGCTGTTGATTCAGCTGTACATTTCTTCAGCATGCCAGACAACGTATCACAACCCCATGAATTAATAATGCTCGACATTGATGACGTTTTTCTACCCTGTCCTGACAATTTAATTGTCAATCTCAGGGAGAGGGAGGAGCTGATACGCGATCTATTGGCCCAGATGCCAACAAAATTCAGTGGTACACACGACACTAATTGTGCACTTGGTGCTGGATTACAAGCGGCTTTTAAATTGATGTCAGCAACTGGTGGACGTGTCACTGTATTCCAAACGTGCCTACCCAATGTTGGACCCGGTGCACTGCAATCGCGCGAGGATCCCAACACACGTGCCAGCAAAGATATACAGCATCTCAATCCAGCAACAGATTTTTACAAACGTCTTGCACTCGACTGCAGTGGCCAGCAAATAGCTGTTGATCTTTTCCTATTAAATAGTCAATACAGCGACTTGGCGACGCTCTCAGGGATGTGTAAATTTTCAGGTGGCTGTATTTATCACATTCCCCTGTTTCGTTACAATAAACCACAGCACAATGAGACGTTGGAGCGAATGCTGCGTCGTTATCTAACGAGAAAAATAGGTTTTGAAGCTGTTATGAGAATAAGATGCACCAGAGGTTTGAGTATACACACGTTCCACGGTAATTTCTTCGTGAGATCAACGGATCTTTTGAGTTTACCGAATGTCAATCCTGATGCTGGATTTGGCATGCAGGTGTCTATCGAGGAGAATCTTTCGGATGTGCAGACAGTATGTTTTCAGGCTGCACTCCTGTACACATCGAGCAAAGGAGAGAGACGTATAAGGGTGCATACCCTCTGTTTACCAGTAACGTCAAGCCTCACGGATATTCTCTACTCGGCTGATCAGCAGTGCATCGTCGGTCTCCTCTCGAAAATGGCTGTCGATAGGTCCCAGCAATCGACACTCACTGACGCTAGAGATGCACTTATTAATGTTGCCATTGACGTTTTGTCTGCGTATAAAATATCTCAGTCGGCATTATCTGGAGGTCTCATGGCGCCAATCAATCTCAAATTACTGCCACTTTACATAATTGCACTGTTGAAGTGCAATGCATTCAGATTAGGTACAAGTACGCGGTTGGATGATCGTATTCACTCCATGTGTCAAATGAAAACTCTACCTCTGACACAGCTCATTCAGACGGTATATCCTGATTTGTATCCGGTGCATGCACTAGGTGATGGGAATACAAAGGACATTGATGGAAGAATATGTCCACAACCACCGAGATTACACTTGTCAGCTGAGAAACTTGATTTTCGTGGGGCTTTCTTGATGGACGCTGGAGACAGAATATTCATATACATCGGTAAAAATATCGATCCACAATTCTGCTGCAATGTACTTGGGGTATCGGCTTACAGCTCAATACCAGAAGAGATGTACGAATTGCCCGAGTTGGATACCACCGAGAGCGAAAGGCTTCGCAATTTTATTTTCAGTCTGCAGGATGACAAACCTTATCAAGCATCAGTTCAAATAATTCGGTGAGTTGATGATTGTCGATTGGAGTTTATTGAGAATTAATTTGTGGTTTTGTTTCAGCGATGACAGCCACTTCAGGAGTTTGGTTATCGAACGTTTGATCGAGGACAGATGTGAATCAGCTCTGAGCTACTACGAATTCCTCCAACACATAAAAACCCAAATAAAGTAGACAAATTTATCCTCTCCATCGAACATTCTAAATCTAATGTGTAGCTAAATCAATCAGTGTAAAAGGTACAGTTGAATCGTACGGAGTGATTTTCACTGTCTTTGTTAGTTTATAAAATGAACATAAACAAACAGGTATGCATTGATCAACATTCGCTCCATTCGCTGGATTATACGTGTTAAATAACGTGAAAAAATTTTTATGACGAATTAAGCCTTAAACAATGCAGTGTAGGCATTTAAAGAACTATTGTAATTAAATCCTACCGTCGTCTATCATTTTTTTAACTAAAACTCAAGATTTTTAGTTGACTCGCATTGAATTCGTGGGGGAATTAGATAAAACTAGAGCCATCTTCAATCATGTGTGTATTTTTCTTTGTCATCATCATCGTAATTATAAAAATGGCCATTTAAATACGTCAGATGGATAATACATTCATTATTTTTGTTGCTGTCCTCGTATTATTATTATATGATTGAACAAATGTCTGGATCAGCCGGTGATGTGCATGAAGTGTACGCCATTTTTTTTTCTTCGGGTACATTCTTATGAAAATAAATGAATTGTTTGCGAGTAATGGTACAGGGACAATTAATAAAATGTCTTATCGTTACACTATAGTCAAGTTATTTTCTACAGCTCCATGATTGGTAATGTTTTTTCGGCCTACCGGTCTGTTGGTTAATTTCGTTATTTAATTATTTATCGATCATCATTGATTATCGGTTACTGTTATCTGTATTCGCTAAATATGTATGTAAATAAGAAAATATAGAACACATATGGGTGAGATATCAATACCAATTCATTGATTCATTCAAATTTTCAATTTCGTCTGTCACAGCTGTATTGTTATAATAAAAGTGGTTCGGCAAATTCTACTGCATTCACTCATCTTGAACCCCTTTCACTTATATATTGTTTATATTTTATTTATTTATAAAAAGCATTCCATCATTTTTTTTATATTTTCTTTTTCTATTACCAGATTTTTTTTTTAATCATGAATTATATTTTTCTTTTATCTTTGTTGTGAAGATCATTTTTTTCTTGAATACCCACGGGCACTTGGATATACAAAGTTTTGGTGATCTGGGGTCATGGGTTCAGAGACGGATTTTCGCCTGAGGCTGCGATAATCGAAACAAGTGTCGGGATGTCCGGTGTTCGCCGGTCTGAAGTTGTAATTTTTCCTCGGTGAAGAGTTGGAGATTTTGGAAAGAATAATAAGCTCTCGGGTAATGGAATGCACACAATTTTTATTGAATATTTCTCTTCGTGTAGCTTTAATAAACAGTGCGCGAAAATGGCTAAAACCAGAGACTCGCAGTTGGCGCAAGCGCTTCATGTTGAGGCGGGCTTGATCGAGGCTTGATTCTGTTGTCAGTAAAATGAGTGAGTAGTAGTGTCCCGACATCACTGGGAGGCGAGTTTTTTCGCTTTTGTTGGAGACTAGTCATCGTCAATTCGGTAAGTCATTTCTCAAAAAAAAAATCCAAAAAAATCGTCGCGTCTCCCCAATTTCTCGTGTCTCGCATCCCAAAAAAATTTAATTATTCAATAATTCTGATGATTAATTTAAAAACTGGAACGGTGGAGTAAACAATATCGAGTCAATAAACATTTCTCAAAATTCAACTGGAAGACATTTGCGCTTAATTCTGCAATTGCAATAATTCACTGTTTAATGTCTTCTCGCTGTACTGCTTTTATGACCCGAGAAATTTGTTGCAATGAAACTCACGGGTGTGCAATAGATGTTAAACTTCACCAACGAGGGTATTTAAAAAATTTCCACTATTATGAATTCTCACTTTAATTTTCCAGCACGCTGGGGAATTATTCAGTCTCACATGAACAGTTCTATAAATTATATAAATTCCCGCTTAATAAATACCGCCATTAATTACTAAAAAGTCTAATTACATATGTAAATTGATCCCTCCCAAAATATTATAATTTAACGAATAATTCATTGTTTTATAAAAATGCCAATTGTAGATTACAATTGTAAATTGCAACTGCAAATTGCAAATGTTTTCAAAATTTAGAGAAAAATTGATTTATTTTTTTTTTGTGATAAGAAATATGAAAATGGGAGAATCTTTTTGAAGATATCATTTTGGCGGAACATTTCCCCTCGATCTAGTGATTCTTTTATATTCTCCGCGTTTATTCGCGACCCCAAATAGTTACCTCCACCGAATCTCTCGGGTTAGAGATAAAAAAAAGAATCGAGGCATTAGGGTTGCAGATGAAATTTATTCTCCCCCCTTTCTTATTTTTCTTTCCCCCTTTTTTGCCCATTTTCCGTGGGCGTGGCCCTTTCTTCGGATAATCACGTCTATGACCTACGTACACGCGAAAATCATTCAAACCGCGGACAAACGAGCGAATTAATGATTCAGCGGAAAATAATGGACGAATTTTTCCTCCGGGCTCTCAGGCTTTCCATTAATTTCCATTTATTCATGTCGGGGGAAAAATGGAAAATTACCCGGGGATATAAACAATTTATCTTTTCAGTTGAAAATTCTCGGATGATATTCTGTTTATTCAATAAAGACTCTAGCTGGAGATCAGCCTTTCTCATTCCGTGGTTTCCCTGGAGAATTATTACAATTATTTCTGTCATTAATACCTGATACATACGTCCTTACGATTATGAATATTTAGGCACAGGCTGCGGAAATTATTAAAAACGAATTCGCAGGTTTTAGCTGCCAAAAAAATTCCGCCAATCTCAAATAATTGTAGATACCCATTATTATGATAAAATTAAACAGAATAATGACATTTTTTCGAACAAGTGGGTAAAGTCCTTGAATTAATTTCAACGGATGTACAGAGAGTCACTTGAGGATTTTGAATAAATATTGAAGAGAGAAGGAAACTAGATCTTTGTTGCAAATGTCGTGCATTCAGTCTCAATCAATAATTTCCTGTCATATTTACTGAATGCAATTGTTGTTTCTTCAATGGATTAAAAGAAAACCGGAAAAATGCACTCAACAAGTTTGAAATAAAAAATCTCATGTCTGAATCGCTCCAGTGGTTGAAGAAAATAAAAAATTATTTCATTCAATCTGCAGTATTTAAACCGCTAAAGTTTTCCCTGTTATTCCTCGCTCAAGTAATTACATGACAATTGCGATAATTCACGCGAGGCGAATGAATTCCCGGGGGTAATTAATCGCCCAAATAATTCACCGTAATTACACGAAATTTTCGAAAAAAGTCTAGACACGCGAAATTGTTACGGTTTAAATAATTAATCTCCAGTTATTGAGTGAAACTTTTGGCTAGATTATTTTGCATTATTTTTCATTTGAAATTATTTTTTATTTCGCAGTCGCGGAATGCGGGAGGAAATGTTGAAATTTAAGATATCGCCGCAAATCTTACCCACGTCCTTGAAATTTCTCGTACGGAATGTTTCACATTCTACACCCTCTCGCAGGTCAATGAACACATATATACAATAAGCACATATGGAATACATAATATATCGGATGAATCAATAAATAAATCCCCAATCAAAAAACACTCAGTGGTATTAACGACAAAAGAGACGTCCAACGGTTTGGGGAGGAATAAAAAAAATATATAACTAGATCAAGAACTTTTCACGTACATACATAAGTAAATAAAGGGCTTCCGACTTTCGTCAACTTCCCATTACCCAGGATTACCCGACAGAACGAGACTAAAAAGGTATTATAGTTCTCACAATTCCGAGCGGATGAAAATTCTCTGTTAAAAATATCTCGATGCATCTCTGGAAAAAATTTAAATAATTCAAATAATTTATATTATTTAAATACGGAGGTAGAATTACTGTTGTAATAATTCCCAAGCTTTTCGTGTAATTTCCTGTGGGCAGGTTGTAGTGAACATAGGGCGAGGGGTTGGTAAATCGATACAGCCAAGATAGCCCTTGACGATAATCGCTGGGATGGCACGACAATAACGCATTGTTACATTATGTGATAAGCCAACTATTGTTTATTGTTCGTCGATACGTTACGAGATTGAAATTACCTTATGACAGCCGGGGAATTGACGGTTTTGACACGTCACCGGAAATTACCAACAAATTTAATCTTCAAAAATTCATCATCCCTCACCCATTAATTGAAATGAATTTTTTTTATCGCATTAATAATAATAATTAGAATGGTTATTATTATTTTGTACATGTCATTATTTATTGTGGAAGGAAATGATAAGATTGTAATTATAATGAATAATTCGTTAATTGTGTTGTATATTTATTTCGGATTATTTATTCGTGAGGGGATTTGAATGAATATTTTCATCGTTCTCATTAATTAAATAAATATTTGGATTGAATAAAGAGTGGGTTATGCATTTATCGAGGAAACTCATTGTTCCAGTGGAATTATATTACAATTGAATGCGAGACGTGCAATTCAATTGTAATCCGAAGTGAAGTAATTCGGATCAAACAATAA